GACAGATCTCTCCAAATTGGCCCCAACGCACTTCCATCTATAAATATAGGTAGATCTGTTACAAACAGGCCCGGTTCGCAATGACCATTCATAGCAAGATGCTCAAACACCCAATCATCCGCTACTGCTGGAGGTTCAGGTCGGGGTGCCCATAGACGACTAAACAGAGGGTGCCCTTTTGCTGCGGCTGCCGCGTCTGCTACAAGTCTCCCAGAGCCTCCTGCCTGACCTCTTCAAAAAAGGCACTCCCATATCATATGAAACACTGTATCGTGCTTGCTGCAGTATGGGCATGTGCTCGGATGGCCCCATTCATGAATATGCTGCCCTGCTGTGTACGCTCCACAGAATACTGCCCGACATCTTCTATTCTGCCTAGTTGTTAAGGCTTGGTGGAACAATTCCCACCAAAGCCCTTGGGATGCTATTGCCAGTGTTTCTGGAACCTTCTGCCGAACATGCTCCTGAGCCCTCTTGTCGATGAAATCGGGGACGAATGCCTGGTTGAGTCTTCCCTGGTCGAGTCTTCGAACAGTGTCGGAGGGCGAGCACACCAATTGCCTACACGAAGCCATTTCAAACAAATTGTGATTGGCCCTGTTGTTTGCCCAAGCCATGTTTTCGCTTCGGTGGTACGAGAATGTGCTCGTTCTGCTCGAAATGACTCGGTAAGCTCTTTGGGGGTTAGGGCGTCCCTTCTTTCCTCGGAGAGGCAGTGTTCCACCATTCCATCGGATATGTTTCAATAGCCGCCGCTGCTAAGCATAGAGGGCCCTCCTCCACCGCGGTGACTGACGCCCACCAGAGATCTGATTGGGCACGCTTTTGATACCAAGGAGAACTCTGACCTGAAGGGTTCCGAGCATACGCACGTCTCCTGGTGTAAAGCCCGTTTTTGCCACTCCATAGCTTATCGTCGAACGCAGACCTGTCAACAAGAACCTGCTGTGCATCTGGTTTGTCTTAGTGCCCTTCGTTATGTGTAGCTCGTTCGACTTAGCTGTGAGCGTGAGGAGCCTACGGTGGTGCCCTGCTCGAGCTTGGCTTCTCTTTGCGTGCTTCCCTGCTTGAACAAATATCCCCAAGTTTTCTGCTGCCTATACCTTGGTTCCCGCTAGTTCCTGGAGTGCCGCTTTGGTTTTGTCCATTATTTTAGTGCACAAGCGCAGTTCCTTCCCCGTCTCCCGCTCCTCCTCCTCCCCTCCTCCTCCTCCTTCGCATTGCAGGTAACTCCTCCCTATCGGCACCACTAAACGTGTCGTTAGGGCGGGCTGGGCGTTTCGCAAGACATGTCCTCACCGTTTACAATCTGGAAGCTTGAACTGTCCAACAGTCGCACGCATGGAGCGCGGGCCGCTGTCGAAGTAGACTATCACCTTGACTACGCGCACACTCGTCTTAAACAATAAAGCAGTCACACGTATATAGTGCGTTTTTTCAAAACGGGGTTCTCGCATTGGTGCCGCGCACGCCCGTCTGAAACAATCGAACAGTTACGTACGGGGATAGACGACGGGGTCTCTTCTCAAAATGGGGCAAGCATTCTGGACTTCCTCAAAGCGTCTTACCATAACTGTGACCTTCTGGTGCAGCTGCGCGGATGGAGGCGGTCCCATTTTCAAGGGGGGCTGTCGCTGGGCTTCCCCTCGGATTCTATGACGTCATCTTGTCCCATCCCCACTTGCTCGAAGACCGGAGGGGCAGGTTCTCTCAAAGAGCACCTCCCGCCCGACTTGCGGGCCAGTGCGGCGCTCGCCCTTCGAGAGGATCGCTTCGCGAGGGGACTTCGGACGGGAGGGTGCGCTGCAGCATCGCTGATGCATCGTGAGCTTGCTGTGGCCCGCCTCTTCCCCCTCCCGCAAGCGCGAGGGAAGGGTGGCCTCCGCCGCCGCCGCGGTTGAGGATCTGGTATCGAGATTATTTCGCACTCATGGGGCCTGGAGGCCTCCTGCGACTCCTCCTCCCCCACGCAATGCTTTCTGATTTCTTCCCTCCTCCTCCTCTTTCTCGTCCTTGACTCCTCAGCCTCATCCGCTCTGTCCTCTTCATCATCCTCTTCTTCTTCGGGAATCCACCACGGGCTCCTCGAAACAGGCACGGCGGGTGAAACGATTGAGCGACTCAACAGAGAATCAATGAGCACCAGAGGGAACGGTCCAAGCTGCAGGGAGCTCGAGAACACGGGGTGAACATCAGCAACCGCGTCAGCAATCTGCTGGGTCCAAGAGCGCAGGGGGAGGCCCACGAAGCCAGAATATTGAGGCAAGCTCCACCCTCTCTCGGGCCTCCTCCAGAAGCCTCGGGATGGGTTCCTGGGATGTCGGCATCCTTGAAGCATTCCCAAAGTTGGTGAACCAACGTCTCCCCAGGGGCTCCACATCGGGAACATGCTGGTGACTTCAGGGGAGGGCCAGCGACAGGCAGCCCAGGGCCTCGAAGCACCCTGTCCCCCGCTCTCCACACAGCTGGCAAAACAGCTCGTCCTCCTGGGCGGCAAGTTCCACCAGGTGGTCGCAATCATCCAACGGGGAAGGGATAGCAGCAGCAACGGCAACGGGCGAGGCGGGGTCAGAGCCAGGACCTCCTTGACTGGCGACTTCGCTGATTGCCTGACCTGAAGCCTGCTCAACGGCGGACGAGCTTCGGCAACGACCGCGGGTAGCATGTCCACCCGTGTCTGAAATTCCTGGAGGTTTGCAGCAACGAGCGGGTCCAGCTTGGCAGACAGCGCAAGCCGGATGGCGACCGTGGCGCAACCCCCGTCCCTTCGAATCCCTATCAGCCCAGACACCTGGGCTCGGAGCCTGCGGGGTGTGGTTTCCACACCCCACGTGGCCTGTAGGAGAAAACCAGTTCCGGATTTGCTTCAGGCACCTCCGCAACAATGGCACCCCGACCTCCTAGCAGCAGCGACAGTTCTCTTCACAGCACCCCCCGGCCGACGACTGGACGACCCGTCCACCCCAAGATCCTTGACTCGCTGCGAGGTCTGGAGATGGATACCTTTGTCCCCGATTCCTGCTGCGAGTGTAGCTCAGGAGGGTTTGCTGCTTGCCACAGTGGCGCTGACACCTGAAACAGCAAGGCCACCCACGGCACATGTTTCAACAAGGGGCGAGGCCACCTGCACGGTTCGATCCTGTACGAACCTGGCGTGCCCGAGACAGCGCTCGGACACATCGTCCGCCCAGGTGTCTCATTGCAGCTGCTTGTATTTTTACACGCATGTCGTGGAGGATCCCCCACAACGAAACTCGCGTGATATCGACTGATTGGTTGCATCCTGCTACAACCCGCTTGCAGCCCGCTGAACGGGATTATTACGTACGTTATTCAACCCCCCGTCCGCTCTGAGCCTTCGGGGACTGAAGTGGATCCGCATGGCCACAAGAGCGGGGCCATGGGGTTTTCAGCGGTTTTGGATTGCCTAAAAGTCTCGCCATATTGCAGGTGATCGTAGAACCTTTCCAGGTCCCACAAGATTTCCAACCACGTGAAAACTCTGATGCGGGTGACTTCTAATCTTAGCTGGCGCAGCAGGGCAGCTCGAAGTGGGGAACTCCCTCGCACCGTCCGGTCCCCAAACTCGCCCCCCCCCCGCTTCAGCCCACTTGGCGACCTCTCCTCTGCGCAGCACCGACCATGATCTGTGCAAGGCCGCAAGCGCCCTGCGACGAACTGTCGGATCCGTTCTGTTCAGCCTGTCCAGGGATCGCAATGTGTGATTCTGCCTTTAGTACCCATAGTACCCACTCTGGCAGTCTAGCCGCATGCCTACAGTGTGTCGGAAAGCCTTTAAACCATCCCCGAGCTTCTCGGCTGTGAGAGGCTGGACCGTGCTTGGGCCAGGCGTCGGAACTCGGGCCACCAGGGTTTTTTCTTGGTGCCTCCCTGTGGGGGTTCCTTCAGGGTCCGTCGGGCACCAAAGCTTGCTCCAGAAGCTCGCTTTCGCGTCCACGACTTTTTAAAGGACTCGCGAATTGATCCGTTTCACTGGTCTAGCTCTTGGGCCAGCCTGAGATCTTCCTGACCCCAGGTCTTGGTCCACCCGTGGAGCGCTGCTGCCACTGCTCGGAGACTCCCGAGGGCCCACTCCTGGAAACCTTTGGAGCGGCCTCGGCTCAGCTTCTGCTCGATCCCCCCCCACCACCCTCCCAAGCTCCACTCCCCCCGCCCCTTCCAAACAGGCAGCGGAAGCAGGTGGCGTAGCAAGAGCTATTCTGTGGCGCAGGACGGCTTGGCTGCGCTCGTCCTGCAGGATGTCCTCGACCGTCTGGCATCTCTGGGCCTGCTTCTCCATGCTGGCCCAGGCCCTCTCCACCCAGAAAGCCTTTTCTCTCCCTGCCGAGTACGGCCTGGATTTCCTTGAATCGAGCCTCGAGCGCAATCCATCTCGCCAAACCCTCGGAGCCCTTCATCCAGCCAGGCCGATTGGACTCCACAACGTCGACGACCTTGGTCTCAATCTGGAGCCCGCGACGCGTCGCAGCCCTCCGGTAGTCGACCGTGGTGCCCCAACGTGGGCTTCCCATGGTCTATGAGGGCCTCGCACTCCTGCCATGATGTTGACGGGCGCAAGGGGGATTGTGTATTGGTACTTGCTTGTCCAGCGTCGCCTTCACGCCGAAGTGCTGCTGCCCAGGGTCAGTCCAGGTCCAGCTCCAGGCGAACGGCGCCCTGCAGGTCTTCTGACATCATCGTGAGATCAGTGAGCCTCCCACGCGTCCGCTTCCTCCTCCTCACACGCCCTCTGCCCTCCCCGCCCTCCTCCGAAGAGCGTCGACGACCTCGAGCCCCGATCCTCGGAGCGGCCCGGGAGGAGGAGGAGGAGGAGGCGGAGGAGGAGGAGGAGGAGGAGGAGGAGGAGGAGGGGGAGGAGGAGGAGGAGGAGGAGGAGGAGGAGGAGGAGGAGGAGGAGGAGGAGGAGGAGGAGGGAGGAGGGGGGGAGGAGGGGAGAAGGAGGAGAGGAGGAGGAGGAGGAGCAGGGAGAGGAGGACCCCCTTCGCCCCCTCCCCCCCCCTCCTCCCGGGCCTCGGGCGAACACCCCTGGCCCCGACGCCGTCGGCGACGGGGACGACGCCTTCTCCTCCATGGCGCCGAGCCGGGAGAGCAGCCCGGGGCGGCGCACGGCGGCTGCCTCGGCTTCGGCCTCGTCGTCGTCGTCGTTGTCGTCGCCTTCCGCGTCGTCCTCCGCGTCGTCCTCCTCGTCGTCCTCCTCGTCGTCCTCCTCGGGTCTCCTCCTTCGGCCTGGTCGTCGTCGTCGACGACCCCCCTCTCCTCAAATCTTCTCCTCGAGCACCCTCCGCCTCCCTCGGCCTCGTCGTCGCGGTTGGTGTAGTTGTCCTCTGCTTCCTCCTCCGCCTCCTCCTCATCTTCCTTTTCCAGTCTCCTCCCCCCCTCCTCCCCCCCTCATCGTCATGCAGTCTCTTCTCTCCAGCTACGTCCATCATCACCACCATCACCATCATCATCAGCATCATCATCAGCAGAAGCATCATCAGCATCATGAACATCATCACCACCATCATCATAATGCAGTCTCGGGATCTCCCCTTGCTCCTCCTCGGGTGTCCTCCTCCCTCCGCCTCCTCTTCCTTTTTCTCTCGGGGCGTCCAAGACGGGGATGAGGACTCGGGCATACCCATCCAGGTATCATGGATCCCTCCGCTTCTTCTTCTTCTTCGAAGACGTTATTTGGCCTCCCCTCGTCCGTGCACATGCGTCGCGCCATGATGTACTGGCCCGCCTCTTCTTCCTCCTGATCATCATTGTCATCATCACCATCATCATCATAATCATCAGCACGCTGATAATGATGATGGCCATGATCATCATTATCATCATCATCAGCATCATCATCATCATCATCATAATCATCATCATCATCAGCATCATCATCATCATCATCATCATCATCATCATCATCATCATTATCATCATCATCCTCGTCGTCGTCGTCGTCGTCGTCGTCGTCATCATCATCATCATCATCATCTGCAGCAACATCCTCGCCGTCAGCATCATCCTCAACATCATCAACAGCATCAGCATCATCCGCATCATCATTATCATCATCACCAGCAGCACCATCATCATCACCAGCAGCATCGTCATCGTCGTCATCAACACCACCGCCATCATCATCATCAGCAGCATCAGCATCAGCATCATCATCATCAGCAGCACCATCATCAGTATCATCAACACCGTCAGTATCATCAGCAGCAGCATCCCTCTCCCACTCTTCCTCTTCCTCCTCCTCCTCCTCTCTTCCTCCTCCTCGTCCTGCTCTTCCTTCTATCCTCCTCCTCCTCCTCCTCCTGGCCCTCAGCATCGGTGCACCCGATTCTCCAGTCTCTCCTCGGCACCACCTAAGCGCCGTCTCTGCAATCAAGCAGGGACTGGACCACCTTGCCAGCACGTGGCTCTGGCAGAACCAAAGGGAAAGCCACATGCACTGCCTGGCAATGTGGCCTCATCTGTAACCAACTGTCTCTGTGGAGGTGACCGCACTGAGCAAAGGAATGTTCAGGCAGGTATTTCGGCCGACCCGTCTTCTTCGTGCAGGTGGTGCGACCAAGGCGAGGAAACACAGGGGCGCACGGCGTGGAGACGCCCTTGCTGGGAGACCGAGAGGACCGCCCTCAAAGCCATGACCGTTGAATCGCGACGCAAGCTCTCCCACCGCATGCTCGACACTGCGGCATGCTGAAAGGAGACCCCAGCCTCCTTGACATACGTCCTGTCCGCCTTGGCCGAGGACGAGCTCCCGCAGCCCATCCCGAGACCTCCACTGGAGGGCGCTGAGGAGCCCGTGTCTTGACTGCACCGACGACCAGGGGGCCCAATGGGCTTGCGCTGCCACGGACGGTGCCTTCTCACGCCAAGCCCATCCCTTCTTGGCCAGAGCGGGTTTTGTCGGTCCTCCCCTCCACCTTCTCCTCCTCCTTTTCCTCCTCCACCTCCTCCTCCTCCTTGCTCCTCCTCCTCCCTCCTCCTCCTCCTCCTCCTCCTCCTCCTCTCCCTCCTCCTCCTCCTCCTCCTCCTCCTCCTCCTCCTCCTCTTCCTCCCATGCAACATTTCATATTGTTTCACGCGCGTGCACCTTAGCAGGCGCCTCGGTGCCCCCATCCGCCGCGCCTTCATGGCGCCACGAGTGCGGAGCCGTAGCCGTAGCCGTACGGCCCAAACCATCGCGTGCACGGTCTGGCGCAGTCCTGCGCAGCAGGCCGAGGCGCATGCCATGCTTCACCTCGTCGCCACGGCTGAATGACCTGTGCATGTGTTCGTCGACAACCAGGCGGTCGTTGATGTTTTCGAAGGCCTTCTCTGGGGCGAACCACCGCAGCGCGTGGGGTCATAAGCAGCACTGGCCTGAAGTCCACCGGGACCTTCCCAAACCCGATTTGCCTCATGTCCAGAAGACGGAAAGCCATCTGGGGAATCAAGGCATCAACGATGGGCGCATCACTCCTGCCGCCGAGGCTTTCACCGCCACGCTGATGAGCTCGCCGCCGCGGGCGCACGGCTCCGCAGTGCCCCACAACCAGGTAGACGCTGCCGAATGGCAACGCATGTCTGCTGCGGCCCTCGACAGCACGGCCGTCGCCGTATACGATCGGCGACATC